ACTAAAGAAATCTTTGTATAAAAGTTTAGATTTTGAAAAAAGTAGTTTTGAGATGATTCTCTATAGATTGGTGCAGTTCCTGGTGTTGGTGCTTGCCTGGAAATTATATGCACAGACATAGATAGACAAGAGCTGAAGCACAAGGCTGAAGTCATACTGCTCAGCCAGGAAAACATTTGGAGCATATGGCTGGGTGCTTACAATTCCCCTAGCAGCATATGACAGATTTGACTCTTGCCCCTGAGTTTTATTGTTTACATGCAACTTTTGCTCAGTGATAAGTCTGAACTGGTTTTGGACAGAGTGAAATTTTCCTTTACATTCAGCTTTTAAATTCCCCTGCTTGGATGTGGGCATGCCACTTAGAATCCACAGTGAATCTTGAAGCCTACTCTAGCTGGGGATTCATTAAAATGGCCACCTGAAAGCTTTCTTTGATGGAAGATGATAAGGGCATCTTCTTCAAGCATCTTAATTGTTGTTTTAGAACATGCATCCTACAATCTCAGCTGTTAGAAAACTCTAAGGAGAGATTGAGTATCCATATTGAAATGACATTCATTGCTGGATAAACATCTTGGACTTTGCTGTGGGAAATGAATATTTCCTCTATTTATTTGGTATCCTTTATAAGTTCTTTATGAGGGACATCATAGATTTAGAGCTGGACTTAGCCCTGTATGGAGCTACTCTCTGGATCCCTTACTGAAATAAAATCTATTTTCCAGATCTTGTTAAGTGACTTTCCTTCAAAACAAGAATACTAAAACATGCATACCCTAATGAGAGCATACCTGTATAGTGGATAGAGAGCTAATCTCAAAGTCAGAAAGATCTGAGTTCAAATCTTACCTCTGACACATATGGAGACCCTATTCAGATCCCTTAACCTTTTGGTGTGCTTGGTGGTGCTGTGGAATAAATAGGTACTAACCTGAGAGGTTATGAATGAGGAAACTGAGTTCCATAAGCACCAAGGTCACAGTAAATGGCGGATCCTGGATCCCAACCTAAGTCATCTGACTCTTAATCCAATACATTTTCCTATTATACCAAGCTGGAAACAGTTTCCCAATTTCTTATTTCTATGAGTTTTGTTTAGTCTTTTTTTTCAGTTGTATCCAACTTCATTACCCCATTTGGAGTTTTCTTGGCAAAGATGCTGGAGTGGTTTGCCATTTCCTTCTCTAGCTCATTTTACAGATGAAGAAACTGAGGCAAGCAGTGTTAAATGATGTCCTCGTGGTCACACAGCTATAGTAAGTGTCTGAGGCTAGATTTGAACTCAGGAAGACTCATCTTCCTGACTTGGGCCCTGGCACCACCTAGCTGCCATTTCTATGAGTACAGAATTTTAAATAGAAATTTCCTAAATAAGTCATACCTCTGGGAGATCTTCAGATAAACTTTATATAGTTTACTAAAGTTTATCTTTTTAATCATGTTTTTCTTGTTATATAAATGCCTAACGTTCTTTTGATTATCCCTACTATTTTAATTTCATTTTTGTGGGTTTGGGTTGTTGCTTTTTGAGTATATCCTTTCCCTCTGTCTAGTCCCTAGAATACAGGGTATCCACAAGTTCTACTTCACAGCCTTCAGGTCTAAAGATATTTTAGTTCTTTTTGTCTTTTACCTAGAATTGATAAGCATCTTTTGATTAGAAAATACTCATTTCCTTATTAATACTCTCGGATGTTGTAGGAACAAGCGAAATAAAACACACTAAGTCCTACTGTAAGCTGAGGTTCTGGGAAAGTGTGGATAGAGAATTGGCCTTGGAGGTGGGAAGAACTATGTTTAGGTCCTGCCTTTGACATGTATGCTAGCCCTATGACCATGGGCAAGTCACTTAACCTCTCAATGCCCCAGACAGCTCTCTAAAACTCTAGGATTTACTGATCTGCATTGATGGAAGGAATTTTCACACCAGGGAGTTAACCCTGTGATGAAATCACAGTTTTATGCGCGCGCGCACACACACACACACACACACACACACACACACACACAAATTAAGGCATTGTTGAAAAGATAAACTTTGGTTGAGGTTTTGATTGGTGAATTGATTGATTGATTGGTGAATAAGTCCAAATTCATGTAAGAGTTAGATTCTAATCCACTATATCTAGTCAGTCCAATAGTATACTTCACATCCCACCCAGACATTCATAACAGACATCTTGCCATCTGCCCTTACTGTGCAGCACACAAACCTTCCCTCATCTTCCCTAACTTTCTATCTCTTGCTCTCAAAACACTTAGGAATTCATTTGCTTCTGGAAAGGGCATGGTAATTGACTGCCCTATCATGCCCCTCTGAACAAAATTCCTTTCCCAGGCTACCACTCCCTTATATGTGTTTCCTTCCTATATATGTTTAAAGTGTAAACTCCTTAAAGTCAAAGTCTGCCCCAATTTTGTACTAGCATTCTCAGAAATTAGCACAGTGTATGACATCTTTTAAATGCTTAATAAATGTTCTTTCATTCATTCAGTAATGTCTAGTGAATGACTATTCATTTGTTCAATAATCGTTTATTAAAAACTACACCCAAAGCATGTTTTAGACCTTGGGGAAGATACAAAGATAATGCAGGACAGATCCTAGATTTTATAGTCTAGTACCAGGAAACAACATATGCACACACACACACACACACACACACACATGCACACACAGAGTGTGTATTATAATGATACAAGAGCCATAGTTCAAAATAGTCTGTAAGAGCTTCAGTGATATAAAACATGCAGACAACTTTCATTTGAACATTAATGGAATATTTAGTATATACTGTCTGAAAAGTATTTTCTCTTTATAGTCAACTCTTCTGTGTGTAAGGAAAAAAAGAGCAAAGAGCTAGTTAATTTCCCAAAAGTGTGTTTAAAAGAATTTTGTCCACTCTAGGTAAAACTCTGCTGATAAAACATTTCTACTTACTCTCAATCTTAAAGCCTCTTGGAAGCCTATGGTAATTGCACAAATGCTATTGCTGATTCAAACCAAAAATATGTGAAATTTTGTTATGAGAAACTTTTAGCAACATGAAAACTTATTTTTAAAGGGTCCATTAATGTGACAGACTGATCTCAGAGGAGTAGTCACACAGGGCCATAGAGGAAGTAATCTATAGAAGAGACATATTTGGTGTTAAAGGCCAATTACTTTATGAGGTTGCTTGATAATTGGAACCAGGGAATCTTGTCTACTGAAAGTGCCCCACTGGTATATATTATTGCTGTGAATTTAGGTGGGTGTGATTGAGGTTTGGAGGTTGACAACTTTATGACACAAAGCCATTCTTCTGGCTTCATCATATGGCAAGAAAATGCCTCTTGTTGGCACTACTTACATGAGACTCACTGTCTCTTCACACCCTTGATTTTTTGAGGAGATTGAAAGTTTTCCTTATGCCTCAACATATCGCACTAATTTGGCCACATTGTTCTACCAGCCTGCTTAGATACAACCATGATGTGGTAGAAAGAAAAGCGTATTGGGAATTAGATTGAGTCCCAGTTCTGAATTTCAGCTCTAACACATTATGAGCTGGATGAGCTTGTGGAAATTGCTTACCCTCTCAAGGCCTCAATTTCCTTGTCTGTAAAGTGGGGATACTAACCCTTACAATGACCTACCTCATTTGGTTGTTCTGGGGAAAATGCTTTGTGGGACCTTTAAAAGGACTACAGAAATGACAGTTAGCTGCTTTTGTTGCTGCTAATATTTTCAGCAGATACTCATACTATAGACAATTGCTAGATTAATTTTCCTGAAGCATCAACTTGGTCATGTTACTCCGCTACTTAGAACCCTTCAGTGGCTTCACATTGAAAGAGAAATAAAGTACATCCTATTCAGCCTGGCAAAGCTTTCACAATCTGATTCCAAACTCCAGATATGTTTTCTACTTTTTTTGTGGCATAAAGTTATTAACCTCCAAACTTCAGTCACAGCCATCTAAATTTGCAGCAATGATAATGCGTACTAAGTGGAACACTTTAAGTAAACAAGAAAACTTTCCACACATATCTACTATAGTTCCCCTAAATGCATGCTGTGCTGCAGCCTGAATGGATGACTTACCATTCCCTGAATGTGACCTGATCTTTCTAGCCCTGTCCCGCTTTGCTAATAGCCTTAATTCTACCTGGAACACCTTCCTTACCCCTATCTATTCTTAGAGTCCACATCAAATGTCAGAGTGCTGGAGTTGGAGTCAGGAAGACCAAGGCTATCATCCTCCCTTAGACACTTGCTAGCTGTGTGAACTTGAAAAAGTCACTTATCTCTCTGAGCCTCAGTTTCCTCATCTGAAAAGTGAGGGATGATATTACCAATGGAATGATTGATGTAAAGTACTTTGTAAACCTGGAAGCTCTATATTAATGTGAGTTTTTACTATGATATTATTATTCATGTATATTTTCTCATCAGTCAAACTGAAAGTGAGCCTTTTCTCCTTTGAATTCTTATAGCACTTTGTCCTGCTTTTAAAAATTGTATTGAGGTATTTTGTTTTTATGTCACATTCATTTCCAATTATAAAGCTCCTGCCCCTGCCATCCAGTGAACCTTGTTGTTGTTACTGTTTAGTTCTTTTGGTCATGTTTGACTCTGTGATCCTATTTGGGGTTTTCTTGGCAAAGATACTGGAGTAGTTTGCTATTTCCTTCTCTAGTTCATTTTACAGATGAGGAAACAGAGGCAAACAGGGTTAAGTGATTCCCCTAGGTCACAGAGCTAGTAAGTAAACCCTACCTTGCACCAATGATGGGGGGCAGAACCCTGCCCCCCCAAACAAAAACAGCATGAGTAAACAAAAAATAGCAAAGCATTCAGCTGAACACATCACCAGCTTTTAACAGCACTGCAACATTTGACACCTGTAGTCCCCTGCCTCACCAAGAAAAAGGAGAATGTGTTCATACCATTCTTGTAAGACACATCACATACTAAGCTTATACTTTTTTATGTACATGCCTTATTTCCTTACCATTATTGTAGACACTTTGAGGGCAAGCATCCTATCTTGTATGTCTTTCCACCTCTCATCCAACCTATCAATAGTGTCTTGCATGTCATGGCTGTTGAATGAATATTTGTTGAACAGATATTTAGTTAAGGTAGAATGACTCATTCAAATCCTACATGATAGCTGCCCTCCAAGATAAAACATAAAATCTTCTATTCAGTAGTAAAAGTTCTGTGCAATCTGACCCCCTTTCCTACCTTCCCAATCTCATACTTTATCCTCTTCCCCTCTCTAATGCTATGATATAGCTCCATCAGCCTATTTGCTGTTCCTCATACGTAACTCACCATCTTCTGACTATATTCCTTTGTATTGGCTTTCATTCATGCCTGCTATCTCTCCCTTCTCACATCCACCTTCCTTTCAAATGTGGCTCAAATCTCACTTTCGGCAAGAGGCCTTTCCCTGTCCCCCTAGCTGCAAGTACCTTTCCCTGTGTTATTACATTTCATGCAGTATGTGCCTAGTTATTAATATGTCTATAACATTAGAATGTGAGTTCTTTGAGAGCAGGAACTGTTTTGTTTTGTTTTGTTTTGTTTTCTTTGTGACTCCAGCACATAGCACGATCCTTGGTATTTAGTAGAAGATGCTTAATAAATGCCTGCTAATTGACTGATGTAGAGCTCAGAAAGACTCTGAGGAAGGTTCTGCAACTATTATTATCTCCATTATAGAAATGAAGGGACTGAAGAAGAGAGGGTAAGTGACTTCCCCCAAAATTCTACTAAAGATATTGGAGAGGGGTCTATGTCTTATGACTCCAAGGTTAGGATCGTTGGAGCCTAGATCTAGAGCTGAGAGGTACCCTGCCAAGGTCAACTAGTCCAACCCACCAGTTTTACAGCTGAAAAAATGGATGCCCAGCAAACTTCAGTGATTTGCCCAAAGGCATACAGATATTGAACATAAGAGGCAGGATTTGAACCCAAGTCATTTGACTTCCAGAGCCAATGTTCTTTCCTCTGTACTTCTCCAAGTTCTCTTTCTGTAGTGCTTTGCTACAAGAAATGGGAGCGGAACATATATTTTTTAACATCTCCCTCTTTGCACCATTGGGAATATTTCCCAAAGGAATTTGAATCTTGTCCAGGGGGGAAGAAGTAGAAAACACATCTTTCAAGTCCTTTAAAATTGAACCAAAAGAAGCGATAAAATATGCTGCAGGGAATCATCTTAGCAGAAAGATCAGCTGAAATGCCTTTTCTATTTCTAATTTCATATAATAGTAGAATAAATGGGCTGAGAATTCCCCTGCAGAAATGAAACTATTAATCAGGTCTTTTTATATACACATACCTTTTTGTTTTTGGTCAATGAAGCCTAGTTGACAGCTCAAAAAGAAAATAATAAAGAATTGGCACTCATATAGCCCTTCAGAGTTTACAAAGCCCTTCACATACATCAGCTCTTTTGTTCCTCATAGAAATCCTATAAGATAGGTTTTGTAAGCATTATTATTCCCATTTTACAGATGAGAAAAATGGCTCAGAGAAATGATTTGTTCATGCTCATGTAGCTACAAATGTTAGAGGTTGAACTGGAATGCAGGGCACTCTTGACGTCACATTCAGCTCTCCTTGCACTACTCTGAGGGCTCCAACTTGAGTGGGTCAAATCTGGGCTTTGCCGTAGGATACTAGATCGAAAAGGGCACTGAAAGTCCTTGACATCCTTCTGTAGCCTGAAACAACCTATCTCACCACCTAGTTAACAAAGATCATTGGTTAAAATACGAAGATACCATATGGTGGGTGTGTAAATTCCTCTTTCTTCCTCTATCCTGCTCTCTCTCTCACTGTGGCCTCCTCATTGGTGAGTGACCTCATGCAATTATCCTGGGGCCTCTGTCTTTCTGCCAACAAGAAATATACTGTTTTCCCCCTCTCAGTCAACTCAGTGCACAGCTTTGTGCCATCTGCCCATGGTGGAAGGGAAGGGAACACACTTTTGTGACATATTTCCTGGGCACTATCTGTAATACTTTCCTAGGGAACAAAAACATCTAGTTATGGCCCTAACTTACAACAGTGCCTCTAGCCAGTGTTTTATATGACACAAGTATGATGAGGAACTGATCAAGTAGTAAGCACACATTCGCCTTTCCTTATGGGTTATGTAGCAAATACATAATGGTCTCTTTTTGTTGCCAGGGCAACACACGAGACTTTGATTAGTCTACTTAACTATGTGTAATAGAGAGGTCCTTCCCACTACTTCATTTTAGTCATTGTTTACAGTCATTATGGAGTTACTTTTTTTTTCCTTCTCAGTTAGAATTTTTCGCATCTCTCGATCTACAATCTTTTTTTTTTCAATTGGTTGATATCTTATTTGTTTTCCTTATTTATCAAGCTTTAGTTCCTGAATTGGGGCTTTGTGTCAGGTCCAAGTTCCACCCCTTCCTGCAACTTTGTTGGGGGTAGTTGGCCCTGCTGGTCTCACCCTCAGTCTTTTGGGGAGGGGGCTGTACTAATCTCCATGTCACATAATTAGACATTTCTGTATTTTAGAGGTTCAGAATGCTGGATCTTTATGATCATCTTTGGTGAGTCATGGTGCTAGGGACTTTGGAGAACCCTGGGTAACCGGTCTATCCTAGTCTGAGCCATGAAAACTCATTGGTCACTGCTACTCACCAGAGCTTCTGAGGTCACTCTGGGTTTCTATTCACCCTGAGGCTTTCTCAGGTGAGCTTCTGTTTCTTGCTGCCACCAGACACAGTGTCATGTATATCTCTGAATGGTCTCTGGTCATGTTGGAGGCTAAAGGTTTGTTTTCTTGTGTAATATAAATATAGATGAAACTGTCTCCTTTTCTTAGTGCCCATTTTTTTATAGCTAACTTTTTGTGCAATTCTGAGATGGAAATATTTACTTATTTTATTTACTTATTGCATTTCTTGATCATTATTTATCTTGGTGAGAATTTATATGGCAGCTGGGCAATCTGACTCCATGGAGGCAACCATTTTGACTAGAAGTGCCTTTTCCCCTACTTCAGAGCAAACATAGTAATCCTCTGACTTTTTTTTTCCCATTGGCATGCTGTGTGGTGAAGAAATGTATTCTGATTTTCTGAGGAACCATAAGGACCAATGAAAAGAGTCTGAACCAGAGCTGAGTATGCAGACAAAAGGTTGATCTATTAATCTCTTTCCTGGCAACTTTGGAGTAAGAAAACTTTTGGAATAACTGTGAGCCTCTAAGTGGAAGGAGAGGCAGGGGCCAGAGCTGCCTTATATGCCCACCTCCTCATGGCCATGAATGCACGGTTCCTTCTCTTTCTTTTTTCTCATGTTTATTCTTTCTTGATCGTAGGTAATTGAGTATTTGCAGATGAAATAGACCAAGTTATGACTTTGTGAGCTTTAGTAATAGAATCCCTTGGTAGCTGCAGCAACTGAATGACTTGATGGACCCAACACAGCAAAGAGCCATCCTAGATGGGTAAGGGAACAATTTGTCCATTAGCTATACAACACCCAGAAGTGAGCTTGGTGGAGACTTCACGAAGGGAGAAAAGTAATTCCAAAGACAAAAGGTATCTCTCAGCTACAGGTGTGTTTCAGTAACTCTTATGCTTTAAGTCTGAGCCTGTTCTTTTCAGTGACAGATTTTGTATATGTGCAGGATAGGGAACATGTCGCTTATTAGGGAAGGATGCTGTGTACCAACCACTTTAAGTTTGAATCCACTTTCCTCAGGGATGGAGGGAGTGCAGAGAAGGTGCAGAGGGGAGGAGGTGGGGAAGGGGGTTTTTGTGCTTCAGTCCTTGTTACATATTTTCAGTAAATACCACTCTGATAGCCAATTAATGTCAACTGGTTTATACTGGGGAGATGTGAACTGATTAATCTAGATTGGAGGAAGCACACTTGTTGGGAGTTTGTAGTTGATAGTATTAGAAACTCTAACTCCTCAGGGTTATCTGTAAAACCCCAAGGGAAGTAGTCATTTCCCTGCCCAACCTGCCAATGGGAGAAGTAGTAGAGAAGATGGATGAACAAAACAAACGGAAAAACAAATGTTCTCTGCACTAGCTTTTACTGTATATGTGAAACCAGGAGGATTTAGTCGGTCTTGGTATTATGGAACTAATTTTACACTGGGTCTCATTTTCTAGTTTTCTATGAGGTAAGAGTATGTTCTTATTTGTGACTATCTGCTTGGCCCATAGTTTCTTACAGTTTTCTAAAAATAGTATTTCATGTACTAGCAGGGACACCATAGGAAGAGAGCTGGATTTGGAGTCTCAGGACCCATTTTAAAATTCATTTCTATCACTTAACTACCTGTGTGACATTGGGAAAGCTATTTAACCTTTCTGGTTCTGGTTCTTCATCTATAAAAGAGGGGGGTTGGTTTAGAATGCATTTTTAAGGCCCTTCCAGCTCTAAATATATATCTTTATCGCTCTCTCTCTCTCTTACTTTCTGTCTCTCTCTGTCTCTGTCTCTGTCTCTCTCTCTGTCTGCCTCTGTCTTTCTGTCTCTCTGTCTCTGTCTCTCTCTCTGTCTCTGTCTCTCTCTCTCCTATATAGCATTGGGAATGGAGAAGTCCTAGTGGATCCTCTTCCCCCACCCCATATCCTGTCTCCCTCTTTCTGCCCCATCCCTGTTTATCTATCCTGTGTTCCATTCCTTCAGTCTATACTAAACTCACTGATACCTGAGTTGTTATTATTTTTCTCTCTCTGTCTCTCTCTATCTCTGTCTCTGTTTCTGTCTCTGTATCTCTTTTTCTCTCTGTCTCTGTGTCTCTCTTTGTCTGTCTGTCTGCCTCTCTCTTTCGTAACCTGGGAGGTCTGTGTTCTGTTCTTTGTATATCAAAGTGTTCTTTTTTTGGGTGGGAGGCGGTTTGATAAGTAGAAAAATTTTTAAATGATTTTTTTTAAAGGAAAAAGTCCCTGCTCTCAAGAAGTTTACATTCTACTGCAGAAGGGTGTGGGAAGTATTCACCATGTACAAACGTACTCAGATAATTCAATATAAAATGCATATGATCCACTTGCTTTGTCTAGGCCTTACTGGGACTAGAT